GCACAAATCAGTTTACATTATTGACAATTATAGCAATATACTTAGAAAGTACATTGCTATTTTAGGGTAGAAAGGATAAAAAGTCATAATAAATATATTGTATAAACTAGTAAAAAAAAAATGCATTGCTATATTATGGTTATATTGCGATATTAAGTCATTGTTAGTTATAAAAAATGGTATTATGGGAAGTTTCCAAAAAAATTTAGTAATTTGCAAGAATAGTTCTTGTTTGAAAGGTCCATGTGTTACTAACTTTACAAAAAAGGTCCCTTTGTTACTAACTTTACAAAAAATCTTATATTTTTAGAAATTTACAGAAAAGGTCCCTGTTTTTTCAAAGTTAACATAAATTATCATTATTTTAATTCATTGAGAATAAAAATAACTGTAAGATGCTATATTTGACAAAGGTAATAAACTGAAAAAAATAAACATAAATGGTCCCTGTTTTAATATGAAATAATTGCAAATACATGAATGGTCCCTGTGATACTAACTTTCCAAAAAAACCCATGTTTTAAAGTTTTATTGAAATGGTCTCTGTTTTGTAAGAATTAACAGAAAGTGTCAATATTCATAATTTTATAGTAAACAACAATGTACTTTGCAGTGCTTGTCTAATATAGCATCATTTCATTTTGAATAAAAGTAATTGTAAGATTATATACTTCACAAAGGTAATAAATAATGAACTTGAAATATTAAAAAGGACGATGGATTATGAATTTATTATTGATAAATTATCATTACTTTTTTTGGCTTTTGAAATAGAACCATACTTTGCATCAAGTTGTTGAGAGGTCCATCCACCAAGCACTCATGCTCAAGGCCTCAATATAAACAAAATGATATTTATTGGGGGAATGGTATTATTGTCTTTTCATAGATGTTATAGGGTATGACCTTATAGTGCGTGAGTAAGCCATTCCATAATGGTTGTTTACTAAGAACTTTTGGATTTCCAAGAATCACAATACCATATCGAGCACGAGTAAGTGCAACATTAAGCCTACATGGATCATTCAGAAACCCAATACCCTAAAATACACAAGCAAACCATAATTAAAATCTCATCACCCCGTTATAAACCCTAAACTAAATACAGATCATAGCAATGGGTAAAAACTGTATGTGTTGTCATTTTCTATAAAGAAAATGTAAGTATGTTGCTATTGAGAGTTAAATATTTGTTATTATTGGGAAAAAGTATTAACCAACCTGATGTTCGTTACTTCTAACGCATGACAAAATAATGTAATCTTTTTCCCTCCCTTGGAATGAATCCACACTTGCAACCTGAGTATACATGATGTAGCTCATGAATTATATGAATTTATCAAAAAATGAGAAAAGAAAAATGTGAAATTACCTAAATTTCCTTGTAAAGCTGCTGCGTAAGTGCACCGTTTCTTGACATATAATTAACAATAAATGCATGTTGGCCTTCGTATGGTGTTATAACCCCTATCTGCATAATATTTAAGTATAATAATAAATTAATTATATCCTATCAGTTTCAGTTATTTTTACAAAAATATATATACCTGACTTGGAAGTACACCACTTTTTAAAAAAGTAGGCACTATTTTTTCAACATTTGCAGCAACTGTTCTATTAAGATAGGATGTCTCACTAGCACTAATTTCTTCTTGTCCCATATTACAATATAAAATAAATTAGTGAACTCAATACATAAAACAACATTAAGATTTAACTTTTAAGACCATTTTGCCCTTGTCACGCATACCTGGATATAAAAAAAACATGGGGCGATTTGGGACAGGCCATGGAAAATCAATGCCTGTTGATTGCCTTTCGTTTATGGTAACTCCATTTTGGAAGGTACCTTCTTAAAAATTATTTGAAGGGAATTCTGAAAGACATGGATGCATACGATATTGCACCTAAAATTTTTCAGAAGGAAAAAGTCAACATTTTTTTTGTTTTGTAAAAAGACGTATTTGCCCTTGTCACACATATTAATATTTTTTTTAAAACATGTAATCGAATTAGTTTTACACCAAGAAGCACAAGTCTAACCTTGTTCAACTTTTAATTGTTGAAGCTTGTGAAGTTCACTCTTTTCAGATGTATCAAGATGGCGAACCTTAAATGAAAACATATAGAATTCAAACTATTAAAAATCAAGTGTGTAAAATTCATAAATGTATACAATTTGGAACATTAAGAAAAAAGAAACCTGAAAGAACCATAAAGCAAAAAAAAAAGGCATATCATCGACCACCTTCTAGACATGACAACAAATCATAACATACAAAGATTTCAACGCCAAAGAAATATATAAAACATGTAATATATAAATAAATCAAAAGTATTATACATGGAAATGGGAAAATCAGAATATCATAATCATACCTAGTTCCCATGTTCATGGTCATTTTTGTCCACAGGCTCAAGTAAATGATTGAATCTTGAAAATATCCTTCACATCTTTAACCCCTTCATCATACAAAAAATTGCCATTAATATTCAATAAGTTATACCATGGTTTACAATATTATCATAAAAAGACCTAGTTACTACTCTCTCTAGTGTACAAACATGACATGATACAAAAGGATTAAAAACAATTCTCTTGTTACTCAAAAAAATCTTACACATTCTTAGACAGCAAAGATAACTAATATGAAAACTAACTGCATGATGCCAAACGAAGTAGTAGGAAAAGTGATGTCAAAGATTTGAGGGTTTGCTTGAATCGATCGGAAATTTCAGCGGTGGACTCGCTGAAAAAGCCGGTTTGAAATCGCATCTTTTACTTCATGGTATTCCAGTTTTGATTTGGGTTGGAATTCAAAGACTTAACATGTTGATATAGGATTTTCATTCCAAATGTTGAAGATAATTATAAAAAAAGAGTAAGAAGGATTAGCTTTGGCTAACACGTGTTCAGATTGTTGTGTGCCTTCTGTACCTTGCATGGCGCTTCAATTGCATAAAAGAAGTGTTCCATTTTGACGACCTAGCTTTGTAGTAAAAAAAAGATGCGATTGAAGATTAGTTTTAGAAATGATTTTGTTCCTCATTTATTCTTATCAGTTGACAGAAAATCGATGAGTTAGTTCTTGATTTATAGCCTTCAATTTTGAAACTTGATAAAAATGTGTTGATTGTATGCGAGGGCTTAAGAAGAAGGGAAAGTGAAAGTGGAAAGGGCATGGGGGGAAATTCACTTTGGTATTTTGAGTCGGAAAAATCGATTGGGGAGGGCTTAGAGAATGTCACGTGGCAAAAATCTACTTATTTATTAGATTAGGGGATTATGTGTACCCACACTTGAATTATTTGATTCAACTATAACTTTCCGTATGAGCCGATACAATCATAGTTTGGCTAACTTTCCGTATGAGCCGATACAATCATAGTTTGGCTAACATTGGTGCATTGGAAATAATGATATCATTGGTGTTGGCGGTGTGCATAAGGGCGGTGCCAAGGGGAAAGGTATGGTTGAGAATACATATGTTGATATTGATATTTCTCTTATGAAATGGCAAAATAATGATGCAATTTGGTCAAGTCAATATGTATATGTAAATTGGTTTCTTTCTAAAATTTCACATGTATATGTAAATTGGTTTCTTTCTAAAATTTCACCTCCTGGAAGTACTAACACGCAATGAAGGAATGAGTGGTGGTGCACCTACCTTTTTTTTTTCTCCTAATACCATCATTGTATGTTAACTCGGTTTCCAAAACTAAAAAATAATCCATAATGAATTTAGGCTAACCTGTTTTTGATTGGAGAGCTTGATAAAATCTTTTGATAAATAATTTTTAAACAATGTTAATTAGGTAAGGTAACAAACGACAGGTTTGAGATTTATATTAATATAAGAGTAAATTACGTAAGGTTTGAGATAAACTATGCGTTCGTCCCTAAGATAAGTTCAATTGAATAAAACTTTGGTTACTAAATAAGCAAACAATGACGAAAAAATCATTATTTAGTTTAAGGAACTAAGTTTATTACTTGAATATAAACTTATATTATAAGTTAAGAGACATTGATTTAGAAAATATATTTTCCAAATAAATTAGATGTGTGTTCGCGCAAAGCAACGACGATAAATATAATATTTATGTTTATAACTTATCTCTATATTGAATGTTTATATATTTGATGTAAAGTAATTAATAGCGGTGTGTAGTTTAATAAATATAAATGAATTTATATATATGAATTTATTATTTTAAATTTATCATTTTGTTCTAAATTGAATTTTTTAATAATTTTTTTAATTCAAATCTTCAAACTTTTGGCAAGTATTAATGATTTATTATGCATAATTGATTTGTATAAAAAACAGTATAACTTATATCTCGTAAAATTCAAGATATAACTAATATGTTTTATAATATACTATAAGTATATTTTTATGTACAAACTATCAAAAATCTACTAATAAAAAAATTGTTTAATTGAAGTCATATAACAACTTATTTCAACAAAGTTGGTTTGTATAATAAATTAATTTCAAAAAATAGGTTCACATTTATCATGATATTTCATTTAATCAAAAGGCAAAACTGTCATTTGTGTTATTTTATGGGTTTTGTGTGTGCGTTTTGATGTGTTCGTATATGTGTACATATGTGTGTTATATTTTTGTTTGTATGTTTGTGATTATCTATTTTATTTTAATTTATCAATAGTATAATACACAAATTTTTTCGTGATACATACGTATTATTTATAAATCATTTTCAAAGGTTAACGAGGGGCAGAATTATTTTCTTAATAACAGGGGCAACTTGTAATTTTCAAGTGGCCGTCATTCTTGACTCATTATATTATTTTATTGAATTAGAATAGTATTATTTTCGAAATCCATCAATGTAAATACCGATAGCAAATCACAATTGTAGATCATCAGAGTCCTCCAATATTCTCTGAGCAAATTTATATAGTTTGTTGCTTATGCAATCAAATTGAAAAAAGCTTTCTGCTATTAGACGGAAAATAATCAAAAAAGATGGGTTCCGGTGGCCATGCAACGGAGAGAGATAACTCCGGGAATGAAGTTATTAAGCGAGCCCCATCTTCCAAACCACCTTTCACTCTTGGGGATATAAAAAAAGCCATACCACCACACTGTTTTAATCGATCCCTCCTCCGATCTTCATCCTACCTTTTCGTTGATCTCTTTTTTTCCTTCTTCTTTTACTACGTTGCCGCCAAGTTCATCGTCCCCCTTTCAACCCCTCTTTCTTATGTGGCGTGGCCGGTCTATTGGGTGCTCCAAGGTAGTGTCCAGATGGGTTTGTGGGTCATCGGCCATGAGTGCGGGCACCAAGCTTTTAGTGACTACACATGGCTAAATGACACCATCGGATACTTTCTACACACGGGTATGCTTGCTCCTTATTTCTCTTGGAAATACAGTCACCGTCGTCACCATTCCAACACTTCTTCACTCGAGAATGATGAATCTTTTGTCCCAAAAAAGAAGTCCGCCCTAAATTCTTCTGCGAGACTACTCAACACTCCACCTGGTCGTCTGTTTAGGCTCGTCGTTTTATGCACCATAGGCTGGCTTTTGTACATTTGTTTCAATGTTTCTGGCCGGAAGTATGAGAAATTTGCAAACCATTTTGACCCAAAGAGCCCTATTTACAGTGATCGTGAGCGATTCCAAATATTCCTTACCGATGTTGGACTTGTTGTAGCAAGCTATGGCCTCTACAAAGTGGCCTTGGCACAAGGGGTCATATGGTTGTTGATGGTCTACTTTGCTCCTTTAGTGATCGTTTATGGGTTTCTGGTGGTAATCACTTGGTTGCACCACACTCACCCATCGTTGCCCCATTACGACTCGACCGAATGGAACTGGTTGAGGGGGGCTTTGTCAACCATTGATAGGGATTACGGTTTGTTCAACACAATACTTCATCACATCACGGACACACATGTTGCCCACCATTTGTTCTTCACCATTCCTCATTATAACGCAATGGAGGCCACAAAAGCAATTAAACCCATCTTAAAAGAATACTATCAGTTTGACGACACACCTATTATCAAAGCAATGTGGAGAGAAGCTACCGAGTGTTTCTTTGTTGAGGCTGACAAAGGTGACGACAACACCACCAAAGGTGTCTACTGGTTCAACAATAAAATGTGAAAATTATGTAATTCCCCCTATAAACGTCTTGATTCTGGTTCAACAATAAAATGTTAAAATCATTTATTCCGCCCATGTCAACGTCTTGATTCACTAGATTGCATATGTACTAAGCTTTAATTTTAGTAATGGCTAAATTACATTATTATGGATATCGTTTGTATGTATTTAGGGCGTTTGAGATTGTTTATTTAAGTTCTTTATTATTATATTGCGGTTTGACACTGTTAATAAATAAAAAGTTTTTAGTGGATAGATTAAAATTAAAAGTGTTTATTTATTTAAATAAAGAGTTTTTGATAAGTTATTAAACGCTAAGGGTTGTTGATAGTTGTTATTGAATATGTATATATATGTGGTTCCACAACTGAAATCTTTTATTAATAAAATAAAAGTAAATATATATATATATATATATATATATATATATATATATATATATATATGTGTGAATTTTATAGATATTAGGTGTATATGATATCTGCGTAAAATCTTACGTCGAACATAATAAATAGGACTAAAAAAGAAATTAAAAATAAAATATTATTTAGGATAAATAATCTATACAAAAGTCGTAGTAACTAAAAAGCGAACTCGTGTATATAAAGAACGCCTAAATTTGAGTTTATGAGAGGAAATTATGTTTTTTCGAAATTTCAACCTAACAGTATATGGCTTAGAAACCGAAATTAAAATCGATCGATTGTTAGGAAAAACAAATCTAAACTAGAGTTGAAGATCGCGTCAACGTGATTCGTGCATATAAAGAACGCCTAAATTTGACTTTATGAGAGGAAATTATGTTTTTTCGAAATTTCAACGTAACAATATATGGCTTAGAAACCGAAATTAAAATCGATCGATTGTTAGGAAAAACAAATCTAAACTAGAGTTGAATATCTCGTCAACGTGATTCGTCGATATAAAGACAGTTGAGAACGAATATCTTATGTAAAAGTTAGGATTTTTATACAGATTTTAACAGTCTAAACCTGTAAAAAATATAACTTTAAAAATAAAGTGAAAATTTGCCGATAGAGTCTAAACGAAAGTTGTAGATCTCATGGATAGCTACACATGGATATAAAGAATGTCAAAAACGAAGCTTGTATTAAGAAGTTATTATTTTTTGTAATTCTGATAAAAACCCACACGCTCAGGCGTGCACCAACAAGGCATGCGAAGTGCGTTTGACATTCCACTAGAATTCCGCTACATGTCACACCTCTGCTGGAGCCATGCCAACGCCCCCGTTAAGAGGAGCGGCGCGCCCTTCAGTTTTTCATCTATAAATTTGACGTCAATTGCATCCATTTCTCACACCATTCGATCCAATCTCTCTAGAACCTCTTCCACCCCTTATCCCCTTTACTCCCTAGTTCCTGACTACTTTAGTGTAGCCCTCCGGGATCAGAGATCTAGAGAAATAGAAGTTCTCGGGTAAAAGTTCTCCCAACGCAATTACCAGTTCTCGTTAGAAAGCTCTGTAAGCTAAATTACACTTATTATGCTTTAAGTGTAACTTATATTTATAGTCATATTCGTTGTTATGAACCTATAAATAAGATTTATCAGTGATTCCAAGTCATTATACTAATTGATCTACTTATGGGAGTGATGTCTACATTGGATTTAATGACGTGTTTAAAGTGGGATTTCCAAACAATATACTCTGTATACCAAATAGATCCTACCTCCGATATGATCATACGTGGTTGTTCCTTATTTCATAGATCTTGATGTAGACATTGGGATCATCGAGGAATCTGGATTATCATTATTATAGTCACTAGGAATTTTAAACTAGACTAAGATTAATGCCATTTAAATCTAGGTCTTTTAAAAAGGATAAGGTGTTAAGGCGAAGCGCTGCCCTAACCTCGAATCACTCATTTTTGTCAGGTGAGTGCATACTTACTCTCAAGAGCATAATTTAATATATGTATGTATTAAATGCTAATTGTAGTAATTATAATTTGTGTTATTTGTATAATATAATAGTATTGCTTATTAAGAATTGTGTCGTAACCAGATTTGCCTTTAGTTATAGTTTGGGTTAGTTATAGACTTATAAAAGGTGCTTATTTCCAAATAAGTTGAATATCGGATAGGTCTCTTTTTAGGGTAGAGTGTGAGATCAAAACGAAATGTAGTAGTCCTCCTCCTTTTGGATGACCAAAAATGGTGGGTCCAGATCAGACAACTGGCAAGTATGTCTGGGTCATCGACCAAAGTAGATGACAACAATTGACTATTCAAGTCGGTCTAGTGAGTTACGTTGCAAGTGTGGACTTATAACCCACAGACATAGATAAAATGGGATACCATATTAATCAAATATTATGTACATTGGTTACCTTAATATTACTTACACTGGCCAAGGACTCCCCTAGTTGTGTAGTCAAACAGTTACTCAGAAGATTTATCAGGTAAGATGATTCTTCCAGATGATTGTCTAATTAGGATTTTTGAGAATCAATTAGGAACGATAGATGGTCTTACATCAGATTACATACAGCTATAATGTTTATTGCATGAGTTTTATTAAGATTTATTATCATTAAAATATAATGGGCTTGAAAACCCAATGTATCTCACTAGGTTTTCCAAACCCGACCCACTTAATTTATATGCATCACAGGTAGCGGAACTAAGGCTGCTAGAATCTAGTTAGGACGATGCGTGAAATAAGAGACTGGCCTGTATAAGTATTTCAAGACTTTTTTATTTTTACGTTGTAACCTTTGTTTGGATATTAATGGTGACATCCATGATATTTTAATAAAATAAAATAAATTATGTTATCTCAATTGTTTTAATTTAACTGGGATTTTCCGCAACACAATGACTTAAAGCGTAAAGAAAAAGGTTTTAGTCAATTATGAAAATATGGGGATGTCAAGTATCAGAGCATTAGTTTAAGCGAACTAGGAATTTTGCTAGATTTCTAGACTTAAACTTGGAAGCTAAGTATAAACGGTGAGTTATTGTTCGATTATGTGTCTAAGCCAATAACTAAATTAGTATAATCTTGAATTATTAGCAAAGTCCTTTTGAGTTGCCCTCAAACCTAGTATTTGGATAAAGATGACTTTTAGAGAGAGACTGATTTATTAATTTATTATGTGATTAATAAATTAGTTAGAAATCAAAATGAATTAGTAATATGTTACGAAATAATATATTAATTAGAAATTGTATTATTTAATTATTAATTAATCAGAAATTAATTAGAATTAATTTTGGGATTAATTTGATTAATTAAAAGTACAGGGACTGTTTGGTTATTTATTGAAAGTTGAAGCAGGAAGGTTCTAGGACCCCATGGGATGGGGTGGACGAAAATTGGCTAGGAATAGCCTAGAATGTTCATCCAATAGGGTAAGGATAAGAAGAAAAGGCAGCTTGATTATTATATTATTTAATCTAGGCCTTATCCCAAAAACCCTAGCTTTAGCCCAAAGTTTCCTTCAGCTATATAAACACCTCCCTAAATTCATATTTCTTCCACTCCTTTCCAAGACAACAAGGCTGAAATTTTGAAGCTCCCATTTCCTCTCTCTTTAAACCTCCTTGTTACTAGGGTTGGGTGTGAATCATCAAAGGCACGATATTTATGGTGCTAGCTTCCATGCAATTTCAAGAAGGGTTTTGTTTTGGTTATCTACTAACATAGTCAAAATGTATGTTTTCTATACCCTTTTATAGATTTTGAGAATACTAGGGTTACAATAGGGTTCTTGATATTAAAATTGATTATTGCATTCAATAGTGAAAACTTAGATCCTTAGGGTGTTTGTGAACTTAGGGTTTTATGTTTTCCACCAAAAATATGATTTTTTGTTATCTATAAAACCCATCAGTGGTATCAGAGCGTATTTTTAATATTGAATTGCATAATAGTTGAATAGATCAAGATTAAGGTTACTAGAAATTAAACCTAAAGGATCAAAATTTTGTCTTGGGCTAGGGTTCTTTGAAACCCTAGCCTCCACCCTAATTTTTAAAATTTCTAGGGTTTCCTTATTTGATCATTATTGATTTTAAATTGTTAAAATGGGATAATTATATAAAATTAGATAACCCTCATCCGTTGAATTTTCGAAAAATCTAGATGGGAAGGGATTAGGATTAAACTTAAATTATTTAATTAATTGTTAATAGTAAATAATTATTTAATCCTTATAAGATTTAAATTAATTTAATTAATTTTTAATTAAAAGTTAAAGATTAAATCTTAATAGGTTTATTTTAAATTAAGTTAAATTTCGAAAATTTAATTTAAACCTAGTATTTTGAATAAGTTTTAAAATACACCTTATACTATATATATATATATATATATATATATATATATATATATATATATATATATAAATATATAAAGGTTTAATATATACTATATGTATAAGATAAAGTTAGTCAAATCGCTAGTACGCCTAATTCACGAAGCTGAACTATAAGGGGGGTATAAGGAAACTTCCTATAAAATGATAGTTGAATGGGTGTCCACTCTCACCTACCACTTCCTTGTTAGCCGAACAGATTTAATAGAACAAAATCTCATTAATAAGTATAATGCTATAAAATTAACTAAACCTTTTATAAAATCTCACTCTTAGTTACTTTAAGAAAATGTGAAAAGCATGCTAATCCATAAAATTACACATTATACTTTATAGTAGTTAATGGAGAGCGTGTGGTTAACCGACACACTAACTGTAACACCCGGATTCCCAGGTATTGTGTTTTGATCATTTATTCTGAGTTAAAGAGAGGGACTCGACGAGTTGACGCTTAGACTCGTCGAGTAGGATCGCGAATGCTGACTGGACTAATGAATGGACTCGACGAGTCGGAAAGGGTGGACTCGACGAGTCCGCGCTGTGGGCTGAAACCCTAAATCCCCGGGCCTGCACCCTATTTAAAGGACCTTATGGCCCTTATTTGCGGCTACCTTCGTCTTTGAGAGTACCAGAGCATCTGTGAGTCTTGTGAGT